AGATACAAAAAGATGGAAATAATCCCTTGCATCCTATCAGATCACCAGGGACTAAGGCTAGTCTTCAATAATGACAAAGACAATGGAAAGCCCACATACAGGTAGAAATTGAACAACGCTCTACTCAATGATGACTTGGTCAAGAAAGAAATTAAAGACTTTTTAGACTTTAATGAAAATGAGGACACATCATACCAAACTTGTGGGACTCCATGAAGGCAGTGCTAAGAGGAAAACTCATAGCATAGCTTTAAGTGACTACACAAGGAAACTGGAGAGAGCATATATTAACAATTTGACAGCAAACATGAAAGCTCTCAACAAAAAGAGGCAAATACACCAAGAAGAGTAGATGGCAGGAAATAATCAAACTCGGGGCTAAAATCAACCAAGTAGGAAAAAAAAAATAAAAGAACTATACAAAGAATCAACAAGACTAGGGGCTGGTTCTTTGATAAAATCAACAAGATAGATAAACCCTTAGCCAGACTAACCAGGGCACAGAGACAGTATCCAAATTAGTAAAATCAGAAATGAAAAGGGAGACATAACAACAGAAACTGAGGAAATTAAAAAAGCCATCAGATCCTACTACAAAAGCCTATACTCAGTAAAACTGGAAAATCTGGATGAAATGGACAACTTTCTAGACAGATAGCAGGTACCAAAGTTAAATCAGGAGCAGATAAACTATCTAAAAAGTCCCATAACCCCTAAGGAAATAGCAGCAGTCATTAAAAGTCTCCACACCAAAAAAAGCTCAGGACCAGATGGGTTTTAGTGCAGAATTCTATCAGACCTTCAAGGAAGACCTAATACCAATTCTCTTTAAACTATTCCACAAAATAGAAACAGAAGGAACACTACCCAATTTGTTCTATGAAGCTACAATTACACTCATACCCAAACCCCACAAAGACCCAACAAAAAAAGAGAACTTCAGACCAATCTCCCTTATGAATATCGATGCAAAAATTCCTGCAAACTGAATCCAAGAACACATCAAAACAATCATCTATCATGATCAAGTAGGCTTTATCCCAGGAATGCAGGGATGGTTCAATATTCGGAAATCCATCAATGTAATCCACTATATAAACAAACTCAAAGAAAAAACCACATGATCATCTCAGTAGATGCTGAGAAAGCATTTGACAAAATTCAACATCCCGTCATGATAAAAGTCTTGGAAAGATCAGGAATTCAAGGCCCATACCTAAACACAGTAAAAGCAATATACAGCAAACCAGTAGCCAATATCAATATGAATGGAGAGAAACTTGAAGCAATCACACTAAGATCAGGGACTAAACAAGGCTGCCCACTCTCTCCCTACCTATTCAATATAGTACTGGAAGTCCTAGCCAGAGCAATTAGACAACAAAAAGATGTCAAAGGGATACAAAATAGGAAAGGAAGAAGTCAAAATATCACTATTTGTAGATTATATGATAGTATACTTAAGTGACCCCAAAACTTCCACCAGGGAACTCCTAAACCTGATAATCAGCTTCAGCAAAGTGGCTGGTTATAAAATCAACTCAAATAAATCAGTAGCCTTCTACTACTCGAAGGATAAACAGGCTGAGAAAGAAATTAGGGAAATGACACCCTTCACAGTAGTCACAAATAATATAAAATACGTTGGTGTGAATCTAACCAAGCAAGTGGAAGATCTGTATGACAAGAACTTCAAGTTTCTGAAGAAATAAACTGAAGAAGATCTCAGAAGGTGGAAAGATCTCCCATGCTCGTGGATTGGCAGGATTAATATAGTAAAAAATAGCCATCTTGCCAAAAGCAATCTACAGATTCAATGCAATCCCCATTAAAATCCCAACCCAATTCTTTTTTTTTTTTTGGTTTTTTAAGACAGGGTTTCTCTAGCCCTGGCTGTCCTGGAACTCACTCTGTCGTCCAGGCTGGCCTCGAGCTCAGAAATCCGCCTGCCTCTGCCTCCCAAGTGCTGGGATTAAAGGCGTGCGCCACCACCGCCTGGCCCAATTCTTCACAGAGTTAGAAAGATAAATTCTCGCCGGGCAGTGGTGGCGCATGCTTTTAATCCCAGCACTTGGGAGGCAGAGGCAGGTGGATTTCTGAGTTCGAGGCCAGCCTGGCCTACAGAGTGAGTTCCAGGACGGCCAGGGCTACACAGAGAAACCCTGTCTCGAAGACTTGAAAGAAACCAAAACTAAAAAACCAAACAACAACAACAACAACAACAACAACAAAAACCCTTACATTTAGTTAAAGGACTGAAAATTAATTCTTAAAACATGCTTTCTTCAGATTTCTGCTATGTTTGGTGAAAAGTAACAAGTAGTTATTCAGAGATCTCAGAACTAAAACGAAAGCATGGGGTTCAGTGCTACAATCAGGATCTGTAATCTCACCCCAACCAAAAGACCCATGTGTTTTATTCATAAAGCTTCTTCCTCAGTGCATAATTGAGGTGGGGGAAACTAGATGTGTGGATTACTGGTGTCCCAGGTGTGACATTGGAGACGGTGCTGCATCTGAGGAGGTACTGAGACCTGCTGCTTTTGTCATTTCACTTCCCCAACACAAGTAAAAGGCTTTGCCCTATCAGAGCCCCTAGTTGTATGATAAATACTGCCTTGACACAAGACTAGGAGAAACAGGTTTGATTGATCATAGACTAGAACTTCCAAAAGTGAGCTAAACCAAAATATTTATAATTTTATTGTCTTGTTAGAAAAATAGAAGACCAACAGGTTTACCACAGTATAAATTTAGATTAGGTTGACATTCTCAGACATAATTCAGCCTTAAGTCTGACTTTGCCCTAGTCATCTATAACATCAGAGGAACAATTCCATAATTAGAAAATGTTCAAGTAGAAGCTAAGTCATAAAAATTCCAGAACACAACGAATAGTGGTTTTTATAGAAATATAAACCCAAGTTGCTCATTTCTCTAAGATCTATTTACCTATGTATACATACACACACACACACACACACACACACATGTGCAGGTGTCTGAAGAGTCTAGAAAAGGGTTTCTTTTAAAGCTGAGGATCATCTTAACTTCCTGATCCTTCTGCTTCTACATTCAGAGTGCTCACAGTACATGCACCACCACAGCTGGTTTTCTGAGGTACTGGGGATTAAAACCAGGGTTTTATGCATGTATGGCAAGTATTCTTACCAACCAAGCTACATGCCTGGTCCCCAGTAAGGGATTTAAACTTTTTATTGGTTGGTATCTTTCTTATATTATCAGAAAGATACGGTGTATAATTCTGAAACATTCAATTTTACTGAAATTGATTTCAAGCTCAGTAGATAAAATAAAATTTTGGTAAATGTGAACTTGGGAGAAATATATATGGCAGAACTTGTGAATATTACCTATTCAAAATTAAAAAAGAACTTTGTAAATGTTAATAACAATCTTGACTTGAGAAGATGAAAGTGCGTTAAGTAGGCACTTAAAAATAATGACAAAGATGCAGGGCCAGAGATGGCTCAGTGGTTAAGAGCACTGACTGCTCTTCCAAAGGTCCTGAGTTCAATTCCCAGTAACCACATGGTGGCTCACAACCATCTGTAATGAGATCTGATGCCTTCTTCTGGTGTGTCTGAAGACAGTGACAGTGTACTCATATAAGTAAAATAAATCTTAAAAAAAAAGAAAAAGAATAAGAATAACAAGGACTCGCCGGGCGATGGTGGTGCATGCCTTTAATCCTAGCACTTGGGAGACAGAGGTAGGCGGATTTCTGAGTTCGAGGCCAGCCTGGTCTACCGAGTGAGTTCCAGGACAGCCAGGGCTACACAGAGAAACCCTGTCTCAAAAAACCAAAAAAAAACCAAAAAAAAAACAAAAAAAACAAAAACAAAAAACAAAACCCCAACACCCCCCCCCCAAAAAAAAAAGAATGACAAGGACTCTTTCTACAATGAAAGAGTCAGGAAGAAAGGATAATAAACCAAGGCTATAATTTGAACTTGGAAGAAGGGACAATGAGCCAAGGGATACAGGTGGCCTCTAGAAGCCAGAGAAATCAAGTAATCAATTTTCCTATATCTAAGTGGCCTACTCACCACTCTGACTGTAGATAGCTGAGCTCCACAATCACAAAAAAATAAATTTATGTTGCTCTAAGTCAGTAAAATTGTGGTAACTTGCTTCAATAATAGGAAAAAAATAACACAAAGAAGTCTGTGTAAGGGCTGGGGATGTTACTCAGTGTCAGGGCTTTGTCTAGGATGAATGTAGCCCTGGGTTCAATACCTAGTATGCTGCTGGCACCACAGTAAATGAATCCATAGCTATCATCTGCTCATTTAGTGATCATGAGAGAGGCCCTTTAACTTCCAAAGTCAGTATTTTCAAGTTTCCCACAAAGATCCATCCATTCTTGTTGTTGTTGTTGTTTTATATACATGGAGCTCTTCTGTTACACCTTCCCAAGGAAATAATTTTTATCACTATGACATAACACTTTTATTTGTCAATATTTGTACTTGAGAGTTTACTTTATCAGAAGCCAATACAGCTACAGTTACTTTGGGTGATTTATTTTTTTTTGATTACTATTTGCCTAATACATTTTCTTTAAAAATAAAGTTATTTTTATCTTATGTGTGAGTGCTTTGCCTGCACCCAAATATAGCATATGCATGCAGTCCCTGTGGAAGCCAGAAGAGGGTGCCAGGTCTCTTGGAACAGGAGTTACCAAGGGTTATTAGGTGCCACGTGGATAGTGGAAACTGAACCCATATTTTGGTTGAGCCATCCCTCTAATCTCTTTCCTGATATATGTCTTTATCCACTCTTTTATGCTCATGTTTCCTGTTTATTTATCCAATTATGCTCATTAACACAAAGGAATTTGCCTCTGACAATTTTACTTACCCAAAATTGCATCAAATGCAACAAAATAACATTTCTTAAAAAACACTAACCAATTCTAAGACCAATGTTGTTGCAATTTCCCTCAGCCAGAAGGAACACAATCTAAAAATGCCTACCAGCTAAAGCAGCATCCTCTTCACTTTCTGAGCCATACTGAAGTGCCATGGTAATTGCTGACAAGCGACCCCCTTGGACTGCTCTTTTATTACTACAAAGAAAAACAAGCAATTAGAAGACAGAATGATGCTATGATTTGCATTGCATATCTTAATGAAATAGGAACAGTTAAAATGTGCTAATACTTTTTCAAGGAAAAATAATTCCTATTAACTGCCTCAGTTTACAATATTCCTTATAGTCTTAGAAAGAAAAATAAGACTTTTATTCTTCTCAAAGAAGAAAAGTTGAGGCTGAAGAGATGGCTCAGCAGTTAAGAACACTGGCTGCCCATCCAGAGAACGTGAGTATGATTCCTAGTACCCAAAGGGCAGCTCACAGCTATCTGAAACTCCAGCACCTGCCAATAGATCTGACACGCTCTTCTGGCCTCCACAGGGACTAGACTCACATGGGACACAGACATACATGCAGGCAACACACTCATATACATAAAATTAAACTTTTAACAGAGAGATGGAGTAGCCTATTACAATCTGTTTTTCACTTAAATGTAGTACATTACTTACTCCATATTTTATGGAAAGCAAGGATTTCATTATTCTCTTCTAAAACACTAGTATTTTACAGTAACAAGTTCTATTATGAATACAATATTCATTTAGTATAAACAAGCATTTAGTATCACATTTTATTTGTAACATTAAACACTATTTAATAATGCTTAAGTGTTATCTGTGAGGTGAGGAAAGATCTACCATAGAACCTTAACTTACTTGTGGTTACTTTTGTGACAGGATCTTGCTATGTAACCCAGACTGGCCTTTAACTCACAATCTTCCTGCCTCAGTTTTCCAAGTGCTAGAACTATGGGTATACATCACTATGTCCAGCTCTTGCCTCAATCTTAAGTAAAGTACTTGACACATCCTCCTTAAAACCTAAAGGTAATACTTTAAGATAGCTTTCTGGCTAGCATGCCTATTGTCATAAGCATGAATCAACTTTCAGACTACATCCTCTTACTCTCACCGGTAATACTTGCTAGTGGGGTTTCTTTCTTCACCAAGGCTGCTTTTATTGTGCGAAGGACCTGTCAGCCTGGCTGCAGCCAAATTTGATGCAGTCCTATCCAAAGATAAAATAAAAAAATAAAATAAAATAAAAAAAACCCCTCATAGATTGAATAACTAAAAATTAGAATGCTGGGCAAAGAAAAAGGAAACAACTATTTTCTGCTAAGAGAAGTAATAAACTATTTCTGAGCATCTATTATGCAGCAAGTTCTGTGTCAAGATCTGGGGACACTAAAGAAATGGGCAGGGCTAGTCTTCATGAGCTATGTTTACTACAAAATCAGAAGACACCATACTGAAACAAATATGAGAGCTGGAAGAAAGCTTTGAAAGCACACTCAATGTTCCCATTTCATTTAAGAGGAAATGGAATCCTAGAACTAAGACCCATTCAAAGATAGTCCTAATGAAGGAAAAGCCAGAGTGAGACTTGAGATCTTCTGACTAAATGTCCTACTGCAAACATAACACAGTATTATATATAATATACAATATATATGTCCATTATCTTTTCAAATAACTTTCTTTAGCTACAATTAAGCAGCTAAAAATATTCTTTTGCTGTTTTCAGAATCATACATCAACTACAAATTAATCTTATTTTCTACTGTATTACTTTTACTAGCTAAAAGTTCAGCAAATAGGCACAAGGATCTTAGATTATCTTAAACCTACCTTATTCGAAGACTTGATTTAGTCATTTCATGATGTTCAATTTCTGCCTTTTTCATGTAAAATATTTTTTTAATTGAATTGGCATCCTAGCAAGATAAAATTACTTTGCTTAGAAAAAGACTCAGAAGATGACTCAGTGGGCAGAAGCAGTTCCCCCCCCCCCGCCCGCCCAGTCTGCTGACCTGAGTTCAATCACTAAGACCCATATAGTAGACAAAGACACTGTCCTCTTACCTCCATATAGTTAGGTCTACACACACCCAAAGTGAATAAACAAACAAATGAACAAACAAGTGAAGGATAAATAAACAAAGTGGTGCAGGAAAAAAGAGGGAACAATATCCTGACTCATGCTGACTTTCATATTGTTCTTTCATTTGGCGCAGATTTCTACTCATTAGCCATAAACCTACATCCCTAAATACCTTCCCAGAAACTTCCAAATTATCTTCAAAAGTTATTGCTAAATAAGTACAAGTTTAAAAGGCTGCTGGTTCTTTTGTAATTTGGCAATTAAGGGGCACACTAGATTTAATGGCAAAATATAATGAATTCTTTTTTTTTGGGGGGGGGGGTTGGTTTTCGAGACAGGGTTTCTCTGTATAGCCCTGGCTGTCCTGGAACTCACTGTAGACCAGGGTGGCCTCGAACTCAGAAATCCACCTGCCTCTGCCTCCCAAGTGCTGGGATTAAAGGCATGCGCCACCACTGCCTGGCATGAATTCTATTTTTAAAAAAATTATCTAAAAATGCAAACAAAGATGTAATTCTTCAGTTGTAAAATATGCACACGTAAATGTACTTGCTTGGATTAATAGCAACTTATCACATTAGATCCAATGTTTCCTTTGCTTTAAGACTTAGTTCAGATTGACTCTCAGTTGAGAAGCACAGACCCATGTTTTTAGGTGCTTACTCTCCTTTTTCTAAGCATATATCTTTGTAATAATCCCCATAAAATTAAAACATTATTTTCAATAAACTCCAACTCTGATTCATAAAAATAAATGAATACATAAAAACAACTTAGTTCAGGGAAAATAATTTGAATAAAAAAGTCTTAATTATATCAGCAAACAGTACTACATATCACTAAAATGTCCTTTCACAAACTAAGATTTTTAAGGACTTCCTAATTCATTCCTGATTCTCACTCAAATCTCCCTCTTTCTCTCCCCACTCCCCACAGGTCCTTTCTATATAGCCCTGGATTCTCTATATAGCATAGAATTCTCTATGTAGACCAAACTGGCTTTGAAGTCACTTCCTTCTGCTTGTGCCTTTGGAGTGCTGGGATTAAAGGTGTGCACTTTATATACCCAACTTCAAGCTTTAAAAAAAAAAGAAAGAAAGAAAAAAAGAAAAGAAAAGAAAAGTGGCCAGAAATGGGTAACTTGTGAAAATGGTTTACTACTCTCGGCTGAGAAAGTGCTACAAAAATCATACAAACCAAGAGGCTCAGATTTTCATGTTTCTTTTAGAGACACCTATGAAGGGCTGGAAAGATGATGCCTTAGCAGTTAAGAGCACTGGATATGCTTCCAAAGAACCTGGGTTTGATTCCCAGCACCCACGTGGCAGTTCATAACTATCTGTGTGTAACTCCAGTTCCAGAGGTTCCAATGTCCTCTCTGGACTCCCCAGACATGGTAGGTACATGGTGTAAATACACTCAGGCAAAACACACACATAAAATAAAATAATAAAAGAAACAATGCTATAGATACTACCTCACTTACATAGCATACTTGGGGGTATGGAGAGGGGACACCCGTGAAGCTGCCCAAGCCATTGGGGCTACATATATCTGAAAAGCCACTAAGTACCTGAAAGATGTAACTTTAAAGAAGCAATGTGTGTCATCCCAGCAGTATTGATGGTGGAGCTAGTAGGAATGCCCAGGCCAAATACTGGAGCACAAGATGAATAACTCCCCCAAAAAGTGTTGAATTTTTGCCGCATGTGCTTAAAAATAGAGTAATGCTGAACTAAGGGTTTAGATGGAGAGTCTGTAGTCACTGATCAAATCCAGATGAACAAAGCACCCCAGATGTGTTGCTGGATTTACAGAGAATATCTGTGGTGGACTAGCCATGCCTGAGCTTCCCCTGCCACACTGAGATGATCTTCACTGGAAAGAACCAAACTATTCCTAAGCAGAGGAGGCTGCACATTCCAGACAAAATTAAAACATATGGCACAGGAGTAAGTTCAGCAGAAATAAATGCAAATAAAAGTTTATATTAAGTACCAACATCAATTTTCAGTATTTTGGCTTACATTCAGAAAATTCAATGATTTTGCTAGCAAAAGACTGAGTACCCTTTCCTCAACTCTCAATGACTAATCAAAGATATTTCTACAGTCAACTGTCATTATTAGACCAGAAAGTTTCCAAGGGACAACTGCAAAGCAGTTATTTTATATTATGTAGATTTCAAAGGATGAGTTTTGTATTTACTAAGTTTAAGTATAAGGACTAAATAGTTATAAAAAACTAAATGCTTAAATGAACAGAAGACAATCAAGAATACAGGAATAAACCTTTGTATCTATAGTTAATTGATTTCCAATAAGGATACTAACAAAATTCAATAAAGAAATAATAACTTTTAAAGTAGTGTTGGGATAACAATCCATGTAAAATAATGTATTTGGATTACTACTTAACATATACAAAAACTAATTCAATTTAGATTCAAGATCTAAATGTAAGAGAAGATATAGGTGGAAATATTTTTGACCTTGGATTAGGCAATAATTTTCTTGCTATGATAGCTAAAATCTAAGTAAACAAGAAAAAAGTAGATAAACTAGAATTCTTCAAAATTAATAAAACAATATCAAAATAAATTACTGTGAAGTAAAAAGACAAGAGAATGGGAGAATGTGTTTTAAACCCACTGATAAGGATATCCACAATATATAAATAACTATTAAAATGACAATGAAAAGAGAAGTAACCTAATTTAAAAATGGGCAAGTATCAAAATAGTTATCTCACCAAAGAGGACAATATCATATACAAATCGGCACTATGTACATAAAAAGATGTTCAACGTTCTTAACTATAATAAAGAAAAGCAAATCAAAACTATAACATACTTTCCTAGGATGTTATTCCTAGGTTGTAAAATTCCTAAGATGGCTGTAATAAAAGCAAAACTGAAAAGTAGGTGTTTGGTGACAAGGAAGGCAAACTGCAATATTTTTAGACTGCAGGTGGGAATGTAAAACAGTATGGTTACTCTAGAAGATTTTGTCAATTCCTCTGTAAGATAAATACATAGTTAATGTATGCCCAAGCAATTATATTCTTAAGTATGTACTCAAGTAATATGAAAATGTATGTCCACAAAAAAACTTATATACGTGAAGGTTCCTAATAGTATGTTCATAAAAGCTAAAAATGGAAACAAAATGTGTAATAACTGACTTAAAAAACCCATGTTGCCAGCCATAAGATACACTATTAATGAGAAGAAAAAAAGAAGGCTAAGTACACACAAATTTTATAACAGTATGCTATACAAAAAAAGGAATCCATGTTACATGATGCCATTTATATGAAATTTCCAGAATAAACAAATGTGTAGAGACAGAAAAGTAGATGCACGTTGTCTAGGGTTTGGGAAGTTGTAGGGAAATGAAAAGTCACTGGTGTAATGGCTACACAACTCTGTAAATACTAAACCACTAAGTTCTATATTTTAACGGATGGAATTTAAGGTTATAATAAACACTGGTCCTACATTAGTTCCTACGCTCATTGATGAAAATTGCAACAACGAAACTAACCTTGAATACTTGAGACCCAGGCTCATTGTATGTTTTGGCATTTTTTGCTAGAAGATCTATATCTTTGGCCATTGCATGTATACTCTTGTAGCTTCCATTCTATAGTACACAACAAAATGAAGCAATTCTTCTTAGTAAGAGTTAGTCAATATAACCGTTAGAGAAAATGACTAAGCATATTTAAGTTCTCATTATAGTCCAAAATATCACTGGGAAGTACACTTCTGAACAACACCTAAAGTTATTTTTCTTTTTACAGATTATTACTGGTAATTATTTACAGGTATATTTTGTGACATGCAAAAAACCATAATCTGGTATTATTTTCATAAAAACAACTTACAATTTAAAATAAATCAAGTAAGGTAAACTTTATTTAGGCAAACACTAAGTGCTACATGGATATTCATTCATTAAAGTAGACTCAATAGTATAAAGTAGCACTTACTATATTTATAAGTTCACTGAGGCAAAGTGCAAAAACCAGTTCTACTATGTGCCTTATGTGCCTGAGCCATTACACATTAAAGCTCATTAAGTCCAAAATAATGCAAGGCTACTCACATACTTGCTTCAAATTTATAAAAGAAAGCAACATATGCACCAGCTAAAAAGTACATATGACTAATGACTCATACTCAGCAATAAACAGGGTAAGTTCTAAGGAATAGAAAAATGAGATTAAATGCAGTGGAGAATGAGAAAGAGTAACACACACACACACACACACACACACACACACGGCACAGGCTGCATAGATAAGAAAAAGACAAATGAGGCAGAATTGAGACAGCCAGGAAAAGAATAGCTAGTGGGCAAGCCAATATCTGAACATCCATCTTATGTGAAAGAGGTGATGGGTGGGGCCATGAGACTAAACACTGGCAAATGGTTGCTTTGCCAACACTTTAGCTGCAAGGCATAGGAAAATAATCATGGGCCAGCTAATTCACAATTTAGATCTCGAGTGACTAAAGTCAAGGATGGGAGAATTCATCTCTACTTCTGTGAAGGAGGAGTCTAGCAGCAGACCAGAAAGCTACACTGGTTAACAAACAACAGTAGAAATGGCAGTATTACTACAGAGATGATTGTACACAATCTCAAGTGGTTCACTACAACTCTTGAGTTCTGCCTGTTTTCAGGGAGAATTTAGAAAGAAAAGAAACACATAGACTAGGTAAAGAGCACATAGACAAGTAACTATTTTCATTAACCTTATATTCAAATATCCTAAGCAGCTTTCATTCTAAGATATCCTAAAGCTATTTATAAGTGTGTTATTGTCAATGTGCCTTCACAATCAGAAATGTCTATAACCAGTCCCACTTATGTAGATATTTATTTATCCATTCATTTTTCTTCGGCAAGAGATTGAATTGAACCTAGGACCTTGAACTTAAGCTATACTCTTATCCTAAAACACAATGAAAGACTAAAACTAGAAGAAAAGAATTATCTATTACTTTACTTCTAAAAACTCATAAGAAAGCACACAAGTCAATCTGCTCTAAACCACATGATTACAGATGTCCACCTTCATACCTGTATCCTCTGAGCAATGGTCTTGAGATCTATAGGTTCCTTAATTATTGCATAATAGTCTGGATATTGCTGGAAGACAAAAGCAGGTATGTTTAATGAGCTAAAGTACCCAGTTAGAAGGTCAGTCTGTTCTTCAACAAATTGAGAAACTTTATGAAATCCATTGCTAAAGCATATTGTTATATTCAAAGAAAAAAGGAATGTGAATTTCTTTTGTTTCAGGGAAAAGAGACAGGGTCTCATTATGCAATTCAGGCAAGCTTTAAACTTAAAAAAAAAAACCTATTCATTTTAAATCCTAACGTCACCCCCTCCTCCCAGCATCCCCTCATGCACATCCTCCTTCAACTACCCTCCCCTTCTTCTCTGAGAAGGAGTCCCCTTTGGGTATCTCCTCCCACGCCTGCACATCAAGTCACTGCAGGATTGTATTTACAGATGCATCCTTTCCCACTGAGGCCAGACAAAGCAGCCCAGTTAGGGGAATGGGATCCACAGGCAGACAATGGGTTCAGGGACAGCCCCTGCTCCGGTTGTTGAGGGACCCACATGAAGACCAAGCTGCACATCTACTCTGTGTGTGTGTGTGTGTGTGTGTGTGTGTGTGTGTGTGTGTGTGTGCATGTGTACACACGCTCTCTCAGTTCAGCCTGTGCTCCCTCTTTGTTTAGTGGTTCAGCCTCTGGGAGCATCCAGGTTAGTTGACTGTTTAGCTTCACACTGTTAAAATTCTTCTGCTTCAGCTTCCCACATGTCTGGAATTTTAAGAACATGCCACTTGACAGAGTTCTTTAGGTCAGGGTAAACCCAAGCTTTCCATATTTGCAACATAACACTCGCATCTACAAAATTCATATTTGACAACCACAAGATTTGAGTTTGTTAACACACATTTGAATCTGTGGGGCACATCTGTGGAATTCATCTTATGTGAGCTCATCTCAGAAAACAGACACACAGGGAATGCCCCTGCAGCTGTACATGGTGCCCTCACGTTCACTATTCTTAGGCTCTTCTACAAATTTTGTTTCTTAAAGTAAATAACTGAAGTTGACCAAAAACCCAAAGTGGTTTTGTTCACTTTTAAAATTTTTATAACATTTTAAAATTAAAATATTACTATATCATTTGCTCCTTCCCTTTCTTCTCTCTAATCCTTTTCTTCTATGAGCCCTCACCCCCACCCCCTGCTTTGCTCTCCTAAATTTACGGTCCCTATTGGATAATACGTGAGTATGAGAGTCTTAAACATAGAAATGCAACCTGCTCAGTCCACATGTTACGTGTATGTATCAGGACTTGGTACTGGGTACCCAATTTGGGGGTTCTTCCCTGGGAAAGACTATTTCTCCTGCTTTCCAAATTGCAATTCCTAGTTCTTTGACTAGGATTGAGGCCCTATGGGATTTTTTTCCCTTCCATGTTAGCATGTTCGCTGATGATGTCCTTGTTCTGGTTTTTCTCAGGCAGTAGTAGTGTTGGTGAAACTGACATTTCTCCAAGACACAATCTCATAGTAAACTTCTGTTCCTTTTGCTCTTACAGTCTTTCTACTATGTCTTCAGCTATGATGCCGAAGTAATTTTTGTTCTTGTAGACACAAAATGAAAATAAAGTTAGGATCTAAATCAACAGTGTCTGAGTTCATGTCTGGCCAGAGGTCACCATGAGTTGTCTCCCTCCTCACTTTCATCTAACCTTATGAGACAGGGTCTCACATTAAACCTGGAACTTGCCAATTTGGCTAGACTGGGTGAACCACAAGCCCTAAGATCCGCTTACCTTTGTTAGCTCAGTGCTGGGATTATAGGAGCACAACCATATACAGGTTTCTATAAGGGTGCTGAAATCCCACCTTGGGTCCTCAAATACTGTAAGTCAAATACTTTTATTGACTGAGTCATCTTCTCAGTACCAAAAGTTGGGATATTTTCTTTCAGATGGTAGAAGTTGAGAGCTCAGTGGACTGTTTCTTTCTCTCTATAGAAGCCACCATTCTGCTTCTTGTATTTTTGATTTTAGCTACTCTCTCATGAGATGAATCACATTTAGTATTTCTCCTTCAGGACTTTCGAAAGTATTTCCCTAAGTCGAAAGTATTTCCCTAAGTTTTTATTCAGGATCCATCATTTTGTACATGTATAATAATTCCCTTCTTTTAAAAGTTGAATAATATCTGACTTATTTCGACAAATATTTTATTCATCCATTCATCTACCAAAGCATATTTGAGTTGCTTCCTAGAAAAACTTTTGAGTGATAAAATATGCATCTAAAATAAAGTCTGTATGAACATGAAGAAACTTCAAGAGATAGGATGAGAAAAAGACACATATAGCTGGGCAGCGGTGGCACACACATTTAATCCCAGCGCTTGGGAGGTAGAGGCAGGCGGATTTCTGAGTTCGAGGCCAGCCTGGTCTACAGAGTGAGTTCCAGGACAGCCAGGACTACACAGAGAAACCCTGTCTCAAAAAAGCAAAAAAAAAAAAAAAAAAAGAGAGAGAGAGAGAGAGAGAGAGAGAGGAGAGACACATAAATTCTTCCTCCTTTTAGTTTCCTTTTTTCCTGGTGGTGGAAAAGGGCAAATTGAGTAGTCTTGCATCCAAACACAGAAGAGATTTTCTAGATAAGTGAGACCTTTTAAAGTATCAGGGCCTCATATGGCTTCATATATAAGAGGATTATAGGGATATATGTATGATTTCATTATAGCTTCTCATACCGCAAAGATGTCTCTGACCCTAACATTCTTTGAGTTCTAAGAGTATACTCTAAGATGAACTCTATTTCAGCACTTACTCCACAGTGATTGATAATTTCTATTAAAAAATGTTAAGGCTTTTTTCCTGATGTGTATGAGTGTTTTGCCTGTATGTTTATCTATATCACGCACATGCAATGCCTGAGGAGACCAGAAGAGGGCGTTGGATTCACTGGAACTAGTTACAGTTATGAGCCACATTTGGAAGATGGGATTCAAACCCAGGTTCTCTAGAAGAGCAGTCAGTGCCTTTTTACTACTGACCCCCATCATTTATTTCTGTATCTACATCATTTTCTTCTCCTTGAGTTTCCAAAAGCCAGGGATCCATGTTGTATAGAGCCTTATGTCCTTGCCTTACAAGGAATTTAGCATACTACAAGTAACTGACAAGTAAGTGGCATGCAGGTTTTCCCATGGGTCACTGACAAAATTAATTATTTAAAGGTATGCTCACTGGAGTGATGGCTCAGTAGTTAAAAGCACCAATGGCTTTTGCAAAGTACTCAATTTTGGTTCCCACATGGTAGCTTATGGCTTATTGCAATGCCAGTTCTAGGGGATCTGACAGACACCTCTTCTGACTTCTATAGGCACTGCATTCAAGTGAACAAAGCTACATACACATATACACAATAACTTTAAAAAAAAAAACCTTCAAAAAATAATTTTTGTGGAGTAAAAAAGGAAGTCTTAATGCATGTGACAATATAATTTAATCCTTAAGTCATTATGGTAAGTGAAGTAAGTCATAAGCAGTCCTAGAAGGACAAAAGCTAGATAGCTGTCCCTGTCCGTCCTTCCTTTCTTCCTTCCTTCTTTCTTTTTTTTGTTTGTGGTGGTTCTAGGGATTAGATGCAAAACACATTTGAACACAGAAGGCAAGTGATCTATCACTAAGCTATCAATCAGCTTCCTCTTCTAGTGGTACTCAAGAGTTGCCAGAAATCAGAGACAGATGTAGAATAGTGTTTCCATAGGGCAAGAAGAAGGGGAGAAGTGGACCTGATACTTTTTTTTTTTTTAAAGATTTATTTATTTATTTTATGTATGTAAGCACACTGTCGATGTCTTCGGACACAGCAGAAGAGGGCATCGGATCCCATTACAGATGGTTGTTAGCCACCATGTGGTTGCTGGGAATTGAACTCAGGACCTTTGGAAGAACAGTCAGTGTTCTTAACCACTAAGCCACCTCTCCAGCCCCTGGACCTGATACTTAATGGCATAATGTTTCAATTTTTTTTTTTTTTTAAGATTTATTTATTTATTTTATTATGAGTACACTGTAGCTGTCTTCAGACACACCAGAAGAGGGCATCCAATCTCACTATGGATGGTTGTGAGCCACCATGTGGTTGCTGGGATTTGAACTCAGGACCTCTGGAAGAGCAGTCAGTGCTCTTAACCGCTGAGCCATCTTTCCAGCCCCATAATGTTTCAATTTTAAAGATTAAAAAAAAATCTGAGAAAATGGTCACAACAGTTGTACAATAATGACAATGTCACAGAACTGTACATTTAAAAACAGTTAAGATCACGGTCAAGAGGATCTGTAATTCCAGTACTCAAAGGCAGAAGCAGAAGAATTTGAATTTGTTTGTGGCCAACTTAAATTATACAGTAAGACCCTATCTCAAAATACCAAAAATAAGTAACATTTAGTATAAATAAATAAAGCTAAAATAGTCAATTATACTATGTATGTACCACAGTAACAAAAACAGCCTATGAGTTTGGGGCCAACTGAACCAAAACAGCCATGAACACTGCCCTGACCTGATGTGGACATACACATAAACAATTAATAATCTTTTTTTTAAAAGCCAACCTTTAGGGGCTGCCAGATGGCTCAGCAGTTAAGAGCACCCGATGCTCTTGTAGAGAACCAAGAATCCGATCTCCAGTTTACATCTAACCTCTCATACCTTCCACAGGAACCAGGTACTCATACGGCACACATACATATACACAGACAGGGAAATACTTTTTAAAATATACCTATATTTTAAAAAGCCACCTCCTTATCAAGTAAACAAACTATGTCCTTTGTGCTTTCTGTTGAGGCCATGAAGAGTATCACTTGGCTACCTCTAACACTGTCCCTTTAATATTACTTATAACTAATAAAATTCTTAAAGTATTTAAAATTAAATATTTGAATTCATTTGTCACTGAGCACATCACTTACCACTTTGGAAGGCAGTTTCTGAAAAAGTTCACTGATGAGCCGTCCTGATGGATTTGTGGCTACAACTATGGCTTCAAGAAGCTGTTCCAGGATCTCCTTCAGGTAACCTGGAGAAGACTAGCAGGCAAGGAGGTGAAGAAAGAAAAACAAATCCATAAGTAAGTGCCAAGTATTAAATAGTTTTTAGGATTACAGAGCTAATTCAAAAGAGCAACTGCTTAGTGGTATTTATCCTAAGTTCAAGTTTCAAGAGTACCTTGCTTGTTAACTGAGAACTACATGAAATGAGTGAAGCTCTTGTAATATTTCTGTAATTAAGTCTTAGAGATCATGTCCTATAATGAATCTTAATTTTATAATGAATACTATAAAAGTACCATATATGTAAATGTGGAAGTCTGTATCATTTTGTGATCTGAGCAACTGAGCCATATATAAATATATATGTATATGTGTTCATAGCTCTTCAAATTAAGTAAAAACTAAATGGAGATTAAGTACACTCATATACAACATTTCTGTTCTTCAGACCTAGCAACTTGAGTTTGGTCGCACCTAGTTACGTCACTGTTTCAATACACAAAATCATGTGACCCAAACAGCACTTGATCAGAGAAGGTCTAAGATTGTAGCAAATTTCTACAGTGAGTAACAGAATTGTCTCAAACCAAAATTTATAGTAAATAGTACTTTAAATTTAACTCATACTTCTGTGCAAAAGAGATTAAGATTAATGATTATTTAGGACTTAAATTATACATGCACTGGTATTTTCACATTTATTTTTAATGTAGTCTCAAGTTTTAAAATCCATGCTTCTTTCTTCCCCATCCAGCCCCACTACTCTAGAAACATTTTGCAGGTAACATTAAGAATTAGAATGCATGAATACATTTATTTCAGGAATTGAGAAACTAATAAGAAAATCATTCTGGGGCTGGAGAGATGGCTCAGTGGTTAAGAGGACTGACTGCTCTTCCAGAAGTTCTGAGTTCAATTCCCAGCAACCACATGGTGGCTCACAACCATCTGTAATGGGATCCAATGCCCTCTTCTGGTGTGTCTGAAGATAGTGACAGTGTACTCAAACATATATGAAGTAAATAAATAAATCTTAAAAAAAAAAATCATTCTGATTTAAAAGTTTCAAGATTAGACATTTAGCTTAACTGGTAGTGTGTCTGCCTAAAATACAAGAAGTTCTGAGTTTGATCCCAAGGACTCCACTACTGGACTTGTAGTAAGGTCTGAAGGTAGTGGATGTGGGGCAAGATATCATAATAGGAGACTGAAGATGATTAAAATATACTATAAAAATCAATGCTAACAAAAAAGGGAAATATTTTATTTAAACTAGAAGTTCGGGCTATGATGGTTTGTATGTTTGGCCCAGGGAGTGGCACTATTAGGAGGTATAACCTTGTTGGAGTAGGTGTGTCACTGCTGGCATGGGCTTTAATATCCTAGTCCTAGCTGCCTGGAAGTGAGTATTCTGCTAGCAGCCTTCAGATGAAGATGTAGAACTTTTAGCTCCTCCTGCACCATGTCTGCCTGAATGCTGCTATGTTCCTGCCTTAATGATAGTGGACTGAACCTCTGAACATGTAAGTCAGCCCCAATTAAATGTAGGCCTTATAAGAGTTACCTTGGTCTTGATCATACATACATAGATGTACAATATAGTCAAATAATCTATATTCTTTTTTAAATTCATTTTTTTAACATTTATTTTTATTTTATATACATTGGTGTTTTCTGCCTGCAAGTATGTCTGTGTGAGGGTATCAGATCTTGGAGTTACAGACAGCTGTGGTCTACTGGTTGCAGGGAACTGAACCTGAACCTCTGGAAGCAGTCAGTGCTCTTAATCTCTTAGCCATCTCTCTGGCCCCCAGACAATCTATATTCTAACTAAAATATTGTAGGAAAGCAAAATAAAATATAACAATTTTATCTTTTTGTTTGTTTGGTTGGTTTTTGAGACAGGGTTTCTCTGTGTAGTCCTGGCTGTCCTGGAATTCACTCTGTAGACCAGGCTGGCCTCGAACTCAGAAATCCGCCTGCCTCTGCCTCCCAAGTGCTGGGATTAAAGGCGTGCGCCACCTCTGCCCGGCAAGCTTTTTTATTTATTTATTTATTTTTTTATTTTTTTTGAAAGAGGAAGGCATTTTGAAGCTTCTCCTTTTTATTTAAGATAAAATTGTTGCTGGGCAGTGGTGGCGCACGCCTTTAATACCAGCACTTGGGAGGCAGAGGCAGGTGGATTTCTGAGTTCGAGGCCAGCCTGGTCTACTGAGTGAGTTCCAGGACAGCCAGGGCTACACAGAAAAACCGTGTCTCGAAAAACCAAAATAAATAAATAAATAAATAAAAATAAAAAAACTTACAGCTATAAAAGAATCTTCAAACAAATAAATATGCATATGTGAGATTTCTCTATTTTCATCAATTATGCAAATGAAATAAATGAATAAGGACAGGCAAGCCCTTTGTTGAGTTTCAGCAGGAAAGGTTGAGAAATCAAAGAAGGTAATGGGGAGTTATAATAAAACAACCCAAAATTCATTAATTACATGTATGACAGCATCAGAAATAAAAAATTTAAAAGGCCACGTCCTAAATTTTATTTTTTGGCTAGAGCTATAGAAAGGCTGGGGGGCTCAGCAAGCAATATTCTGCTAGTTACTTCTTTATCTGCCTCCTTGAGTACCAGACACACAAGTGACATACATGGAGGTAAAACATCCACACACATTGTTTGTACTTATTTCTAAGGATCTGGAGAGAGGGCTTAGTGGTTAAGAGCACTGGCTGCTTTTCCAGAGAACCCAGGTTCAATTCTTAGCATCCACATGACAGTTCACAACTGTCTGTAGCTTCAGTTCCAGAGGATCTAACATCATCACACAGAGAGACATACATATAGGCAAAATACCAATGCATGCAAAATTTAGAAAAAAAAAATCATTTTAAAAATAAATTTATTTCTAAGCACAGGTAAGAGCAAGTGCAAAATCTGAGAGTTCAGAACCCTCCTGGCATGTCCTAGGATCAAGCAGGAGATGCCTAGTGCAGTATATTAAAGTACTCCTGACAGCTGCTTACAGAGTTGTTTCTTGGTACCACTATTGAGCCTGTCTAATTCCTTTCAAAGTATTGATAAAGTATCCGGAGAATATAACAATATTTCTTTACTTTTGCCTTTTTTCCCCCACTCTTTTCCAGATACTAGCCAAAAGACAAAGTGTGCTTTCCTGGACACTTGGAACTTTCTCACCTTCTCTGAAGTCCCTCCCCTTATGCCATGCAGCTGCCTTTCAACTCCTCCTTTCTTTCTTCTCCACCTCCCTACTCCCAGTACCTGCCAAGATGTTGAGCTTGCCTACCTTTTTGTTTTTCCTCTCTAGTTCTGTCTTCTAGCTTAAGAAAACAAAGCATTCCTAACTAAAGTGACTCAACTGGCTCTCTGAAATTTTAATCACAACACTGCCTATCTACTATTATACACTGATAATCTAGCACTACTGAACTGAACTAGCCCTTGATAATATCATGATTTTTAAAAATGAACAGAAAATACGCATTAATATAAAAACAATCCATGGAAACACCTGTGAGTAGCACTGAGTAACACTGTCCAAGATGTTTAAGATCACATGAAACTGGAGTGTGGTTCTCCAGTTTAATGTCCACTTATGCTCTTAACCACTAATGCAATGGCTTCCCACAACAGCCCAGAGAAATCAAGACAGTGTTTCCTCCTCCTTCCCAAGCTATCCATGTTGCTGTGTGCTCACACTTACACCTTCAGTCACTGTTCCTTGATTGTCTTGCCCCTCATCATCATCATCTTCATCATCTGCTTCTCCTTTTTGAACAAACTCATTTCTTGTTCGAAGGTACAAATCCCAGAGTTTACAAGCAGCTTTATACTCAGGGGAATCTGGCTATACGTTAGCAAAGAGAAGAGAAAGGAACATTTACTTTTATTGATAATTCAATTCCTAGTTTTAAATCATCTTGTATAATAGAGAACTGCTATTTTAAAGAGACAAATCTGAAAATACAATTATAATTATTTCAAAAGTCTAATGATTATAAGATATGCAGAACTTAATCCATTTTCTAAAAAAAAAAAAAACACCAAAAAAGTCCTAACAGGCATTCTGAAGTAAATTTACAGAAACACTTGAGACAAAAGACAAATTATTTGCTAACTTAAAATTAATTACTAATATAAAATTCCAATATGAAGACCTATTATAAAAGATAGAAATAGCTGGGAGGTGGTGGCGCACGCCTTTAATCCCAGCACTTGGGAGGCAGAGGCAGGCGGATTTCTGAGTTTGAGTCCAGCCTGGTCTACAGAGTGAGTTCCAGGACAGCCAGAGCTATACAGAGAAACCCTGTCTCAAAAAAAAAAAAAAAAAAAAAAAAGAAAGAAATAACTGGTAAAATTATTTCTATTTTACATTAGTCTAACAGAAAACTTCAAAAAACTGAGAGAATTAAACCACCTAAAAAACAATACCTAAATATACAAAAGCAGAGAAAGGTTTCAAAGAAACAAAGACGTGAGGAAAGTCTAGTGAAATAGATGTGGTGGTGTGAATGAAAATGGCACCATAGGCTCATGGGGAATGGAACTATTGGAAAGGGTGGCCTTATTGGAGGAAGTTGTCACTGGGGGGAGGGCTTTGAGGTTTCAGATGCTAGAGTCAGGCCCAATGTCTCCTTCTCTTCCTGCTGCCTGCTGATACAGATATACATCAGCTATGTCTCCAGCACCTTGTCGGCTTCATGATGCTATGTTTCCTGCTACTATGATGATGGACCAAACTCCTGAACTGCAAGCCAGCCACAGTGAAATGGTTGCCTTTACAAGAGCTGCTGTGGTCAGTGTCTCTTTATAGCAACAGAAACCCTAACTAAGACAATAGCCAATCCGAGTTCTAGAAGAAGAGAGAATGGTATATAGGCAACATATGAAAATATTAAGGCTGACAATTTCTCCTAGAAAAAAAATATCAATGCAAGATTTACGAAGCAAAGCTCACAAGTAAAAAGAGAGGGAAGTCTAGATGCATCAAAATAAACCAAAGAGAATGAGGGGAAAACAGTCAGAGAAACAGATCACCTATAAAGAAACTGCAGGTAACAGATAACTTTATATCCAATTGTTATTTTCTTGTGTGCTGAGGATCTACCCTAAGGCTTTGTGCTTGTCAAGTAAGTTTTCAGTTTTTAAAACAATGAAGAAAATATAAAGTAAAAAGTTGGGTGTCGTGGCATGAGCCTGAAATTCTAATACTTGTAAAATTGGGGCAAAAATAGTGCCATGAGTATGGAGCCAGCTCAGGTTACATAATGAGTACCAGGAAACTCAGGGCTACAGAGAGAGACTGTCACAAAACAATGACAGAGTTGTACATTTGTGAGTAAGTATCATCATGAGTATGGAGCCAGCTCAGGTTACATAATGAGTACCAGGAAACTCAGGGCTGCAGAGAGAGACTGTCACAAAACAACGACAAAGTTGTACATTTGTGAGTAAGAAATTATGTAAAATAATATTCATTTCTAGAATTCAAATTCTTTCACAAAAGTACTAGGCAGCATGAATAAGTAGAGGTGGTCAGAGTATAATTACTGTATGGTCTTCGTACTGATTGCCAGTAGTAGCAATATCAATATGATAATTAGCTTATTTTGACAAGTTAACCATTGATCTTAAGATTTCTTGAGGCTGGAGATATATCTGTACTATACCATTTGCTTGCCATATGTGAAACCCTGAGGTTCAATCCCGCAATTTTTTTTTTTTTTTTTTTTTTTAAATTTCAAGAGAGGGTTTCTTTGTGTAGCCCTGGTTGTTCTAGAACTTGCTCTGTAGACCACGCTGTTCTGGAATTCATAGATATCCAACTGCCTCTGCCTCCAGAGTACTGGGATTAAATGCAAATGCCATTACCACCTGGCTTTTTTTAAAAAAAAATAGAAAAGAAAAGGAGTCCCTGACTAAGACTTTACAAACACTAAAATTTAGGGGGAATACATCAAAAACTAAAACCAAAAAGGAAGTAGATTATTAAAAAATTAACAAAATGTATTAAAAAACAAGAAAATTAAAAGTCAAAATGTGACAGTAGGAATACATTCAAATATAATGTTAATTACTGAACTTAAATGGGGGAAGTCTGAGAAGTATGGGTACTGCAATTTTAGTACCTTTCTGAGCTACACAGTACGACTGACCAACTTAATCCAATCGCTGAAATACTCCAATTAAAACATAGGTTATGGAGCCTGGAGAGATGGCTCAGATGTTAAAAACATCTCCTGCTCTCACAGGTAGCCTGAGTTTGGTTCCTAGGACCCACATCATAGACCAACATGGCAGCTCTCAACTGTCTATAAATTCAGCTCCAGAACAATCAAATTCATCTGTTTTCCACAGGCAACACAGGGTACACAGACTTACATGCAGGCAAACACTCACACAGAAAAAAATAAAAGCAATTTTAAAAGTTAAAAAACAAAAGGTGTGTGTCACCACACTTTGTCTCAATAAAGTTTATAAGAGAAAATGCAAAAGTAGTTTTACAACATTCAGGCAAAAGGAACTTCTAAACCAAGACACAAAGAAGTATAAACTAAAAGAATCAGATTCTGTCTGAGATAAGGCCTCACTTTTTATCCCTGGCTGGCCTGGAACTCTGTATGTAGACTGGGCTGATCTTATACTACCAGATTTACACCTGCCTCTTGAGCACTGAGAGTAAAAGTGTGTGCCATTATGCCTTGCAAGAATGATATATTTCATTACATAAAAATACTTGTTTTAGTACGATTCAATCCCCAGTATTTAAAAAGAAAGTTTAAAACATACTTAAAAAATATTTTAAAAGTTAAAATATTTAAGATATTTGAAACATACAATTTAAAAAGGATTAATATTCAAAATATTTTCTAATTTTTAGAATATAAAAATAACAAAGCAAAAAAAAAAAAAAACCACCCACATAACTGTTGTCCCTTAACTAATGAAAGAAATGCAAACCAGTACTGTTTGTACTGCACCCAGCTTTGGATAAATATTAAGACCCTGTCTCAACAAAACAAAACAAAACAAAACAAAACAAAACAAAAAATGCCCTTACCAACTACACAAACCAAAACTGAACATTAACAGAATTGAGAGAAATTATTAGTCATCTGAGCACTGGCTGCTTTTATAAAGGATGAGGGTTTGGTTCTGAGGACTCACACAACAGCTCACAATCATCTGTAACTTTGTTTTAGAGGATCAATGGTCTCTTTCGCCTCTATGGGCACTGCACATACAGAATCCACTTACATGCATACAGGCAAACACACACACACACACACACACACACACACACACACACACACACACACCCCTACCTTGTTAAGTTACTAGGCATGATGCATGTACCTATAATCCTAGTGTTTCAAGACGGAAGAAAGAGGATCAGAAGCTCAAGGTCAGGTTATACCTATATAGTATTCCCAAACAAATAAAAATTTTAAACATAAAAGATTTTTTAAAAAACCAGACAATTATAAAATTAGATACTTTTCAAAACTGATGCTTTCTTACCTTATAATAGGCCTTTGCATTGTTAAAAAGCAGCTGGAAGTCAGCAGTCAATAGATTAACATCATCATACTCTTCCATTTTAAGTTTCTGCTGGATTTTCATCAAGTCAATGGGCTGAGAAACCACTTCATAATAGTCTGGTTGATTTCTGTTATAATTTAAGTATGCTTTAATGACACTAATCCAAAGCATATTAAAAGTTTTATTTCAAGTATATTTGTATAATATCCAATACACTAAGTAATTCCCCAAGAAACTCTCCCTCATTACTAGAGCTAAAAGGAAATACCAAAAGCAAAATGCAGGTGTCTTTCTTTTCAAAATACACATTAATCATACAAAAAAATCTAAGTTAACATTGATAATCAGGTTTATATGCTAAATATCTATGGTTAAATACAAATGTAAGCATCTAAAGGTACCAGAACTAAACCTATGTGAATGATATCTTCTATAACGATAACTTACATTTCCTCATTTCCAAAATGGCTCACAACAAAATTCAAAGTTCTTTTTAAAAATTACACAATGAGTCAGGCATAGTGTCACACCTTTAATCCCAGCACTAAGGAGATACAGGCAGGCAGATAGCTGTGAGTTTAAGGTAAGCCTGGTCTACACAGTGAGTTCCAAGACAACTGGAGCTACATAATGAGACCATGTCCTGAAAAAAAATTGTAAAATGGGTTATTTTTCCTCACTTAGTGATCACAGAGCCTTTCCTGGCCACATACTAGTACTTATACTGCTTCATAATCAACTACTAGGCAGAAAGGAGACAGATGCTTACCAAATGTAAAAGATCTAAAACTATCTAAACACGATGGCCTAAGAATAAACACAATTCAGACAGTGGGGCTAGGGTTGTAACTCTGTGGCAGATCCTTGCCCAAGAATGAGCATGGGCCTGATTCAACCCTCAACACCACCAGAGAGAGAAGAGATGGAAATCCTGGATAGTGACAAGAGATAGACCCTGAAAAGGATACAGAGGGACACAAAAAAATTTCAGAGACAAATTATGAGAATTAAGTTCCTAAGATAATTTCTTGGGGTTCGTGACATTTATTATTTTCTGTTTCTTTTTTTCTAAAGGAGTTCCACAAAACAAGGAAACCTAAAAATGATATGAATGATTACTTACTCAGTTTCCCAATTGGGTTATTTAGCTCCCTTTTTGATATGTAACAGAAAAGTGAATACATTCAAAGAATGCCATGGTCCTTAATGGTTTAATGCCTTTGGAGAGCTTATAGTCATTCTTCCACTATATATATTTGTTTAAAAAAATAAAAAAAGCTTAATTCTGTCATAAAAGCTCTAAGAACGTGAATCAGCAAAATGTTAAACAGGGAAGGAGAGTGCATGGTCCTAAGCCTGAGCACCTGAGTTCAATCTCCAGAACCTAAACAGTGGAAGGATAAGCAATTCCTCCAAGTTGCTCTTGATCTCCAGACATGGACACTTGAATGAGTGTGTGCACAAAATTAATAAATGTTTTAAAAGATGTATTTTTAATGTTAAGAACACCCTGAAGAACTTATGTTCCAAAACAATTGAGTAAGCGCTGACATATGTTTGAGTACTGATTTCATACAATCAAGGGACCACTATTCAAAACCAGGAAACAAATGTGGCTACGGTACCATCTTATCTGTTCACCCTATTTATATTCTGCCAGCTATTCCAATCTTGTCCTTCACAGTGAAAATATCGAGTACAGAATCCTGCTTTCATTTTATTTTCTTAGTTTCCTTCATTCTCTAGAATGAAGCTATTCAGCCTTCCTTGATTTTCATATATTTTTAGATTACAGTCTAGCTATTTTGTAAAGCATTACTCAACTGGAGTGTTTCTTCTGGTTTCCTGTTGTAACTACAGCCCTGTGCTTTACAGGACAGTTTGGTAGAGATGATGTGGCAATCAATATCTCACTCTATCTTACCAGCTGGCACATGATTTCTGTCTTATTCTATTAATCTGATAAGGTTACCTCTGATTATTTGATCATGACAGTGTCTGCCAGGTTTCTCTACTGCTTTATTTGAACTTTATAGGCAAATACATTCAGAAAGCCCATTCTCAGTCATAGTTTCAATTTACTATTATTTTCATATGGATTCCTGAGTTACTACTTTACCAAATGGGTTATAGGCTATAATGATAGCAATAATAATTATTTTTGAAACAGGGTCGCAACTATGTAGCCCTGGCTGTCCCTGTCTTACTCTGTAGGTCAGGCTGATATTGAACCCACGCCTATCTACCCACCTCTCAATTCCACCACATATGCCCTGTTATTATCAAACTGCTGCAATGTCTGGTGAGTGGGTGTCCTTTCAGGGTAACTTCTATATTTTGTCTTAATTTTTCATGTTTTGAGACAGGGTCTCACAATATACTCCAAGCTGACCTAGAATTTACTGTGTAGCTCAGGCAGGCTTCCCAATCATGATCCACCTGCTTCAGTCTCCTGAAAGATAGGATAGAAGCAAGAACCATCATGCTCAGCTGATAGTGTCTATGTTCTATGTTCTCCTAACATGTTCTCATCACTTTCCATGTACTTGGTTATTTCCTGACACCACACAGCTCTCCGGGATCATCCCAGTCTTTGCTGAGTGCTGTATGTACTCATCTCATGCTGTGTCAGTGGAAAGAGCGGGAAAGAGTGGGAATATAGATATGCTTATAAATTAATATACTTGTAAATATCTCCAAAGCTACACATATTAAAAACCATGAAAATCAGCCGGGCAGTGGTGGCGCACGCCTTTAATCCCAGCACTTGGGAGGCAGAGGCAGGCGGATTTCTGAGTTTGAGGCCAGCCTGGTCTACAGAGTGAGTTCCAGGACAGCCAGGGCTATACAAAGAAACCCTGTCTCGAAAAACAAACAAACAAACAAAAAAAACCCATGAAAATCAACTCCTGCAACTTTTCCACATGCATAATGTAGCATGTGCATGCACACACACACACACACACACACACATAAGTAAATAAATAAATAAATATTTTTTGATGAATAAGACTGAAATTAAGATTAAAAAAAAAGACTAAAATTGAACCCCAGATTTAACACATTCCTTATGAAAGAATACTTAATCACCAAACACTTTAACTTCAGACCCTATGTTAAATCTTCCCACTTATATAAGTGTTCCCAACTCACCTCCGCTTTGGTGCCCTAATGAACAGCTCACAGAGGAGTCTGCCCTGTTCATCCTTATAGTCTCGGATGGTGTTATAGAGTTCATGGCACACAGCAATCTACACAAAGGAAGAAAAGAAAAAAAAAATCACCAAACAACATCCAATGAAGGCCTTTCAACAATTCTTTAATAAAAAATCTCCAGAAAAGGAAAATAAAGAAAAGGAAAACCTCCAAATTACCCAATGGTATCCCAAGTCTGATATATGCTGAAAGGACATAGGTTGGGAGGCAGAAGCACGAGGTAGCTCTAATTTAAGGTGACCCTGGTCTACAGAGTGATTTGTAGGCTAGTCAGGGGTATATAGTAAGACTCTGCTTCAAAACACCAAAATAAACACATAAATAAACTAACAGAAAATACTCTATGTTTCTGTAACTTTTATTAGATCTGTGTCGTCCACCTTCATTTCCTGCTACTAAGATCACAGGTATTCATTACCATGACTGATTCTGACTTTCTTTTAAACTAAATCAGCTTATTGTCTTGTATAATTCTCCTGTTTTTGACTGGGACACTGGATGAACACTTAAAGGATGCACAGGAGTCTAGCTATGCAGAGCAGGCAGACTAAATCCTGAGCCTGCAAGTCAGCTGTGTCTGTCTCCATGCATTCAGTGTTCAGAGATCAGGGCCATGGGGATGCCTCTGACCCAGTATTGAGTTTCAGTGTAATAAACTTTACATTGCGTCTAGTAAAAAAAAAAAAATCTAACAAAGAAAAAAGAAAGTTTGGGGAGCTGGAGAGATGGCTCAGAGGTTAAGAGTGCTGACTGCTCTTCCAGAGGTCCTGAGTTCAATTCTCAGCAACCACATGGTGGCTCACAACCATCTGTAATGGGATCCTATGCTCTCTTCTGGTGAGTCATGTATTCACATACATTAAAAAAAAAATAAATCTTTAAAAAAAAAAAATCTGGCACTAGAGATCGAGCTCAGTGGATAAGATTACTCGCTGATCTTCAAAGGACCTGAGTTTGAGTCCTAGCACGTACATGGTAGCTCATGACTGCCTATAGCTCGAGGTCCAGGGTGTCTGACACCCTCCTCTGGTCTCCAAGGACACAGTGCCTTTACATACAGACAGACAAAAAAAAAATTCATACTCATAAAAAAATTTAAAAATTTTTTAAAAAGTCACCTTAGCTGGGCATTAGGGACACACAACTTTAATTCTAGACAGGAGGATTGTGCACTCCAGCAAGCACATTAACCCACGAAGCTAACTCACTAACTCCTCTTTCCCCACATCACAAACTCTTTATCTTAGAACTTCCTACTAGGTGCCAGTACTTTACAATTTATTCATTTGTTTATATTCTACAATAGAATCTATGCTTCATGTGAAAATGGAGATAACCTCAAATATAACCATATTTCAATAACATGAACAGTGCTCACAACTTGCTGCCAACCCTGACTGGAGTTGGATCCTGAGAACCCACATGGTAAAAGGAGAGGACTTGACTCCCTCAAGTTGCCTGCTCATTCTGCACTCTGGCCACAGCATGGATACTCAGCGTTCACCACAGATCCATCCAACCCCCTTTTTAAAACAGTTATTTACTTAATCTATGAGTGCTCTATCTGCATGTATACCCACATGCCAGAAGAGGGCAGCAGATCACATTTTAGATGATTGTGGGAATTGAACTCAGATCCTCTGGAAGAGCAGCCAATGATCTTAACCGCTGAGCTATCTCTCCAGCCTCTCACCACAAATTTTTTTGTTGAATGAATATATAACACAACACACTGATATTTTAACTCTAAAATATTAAATTATACCATTACTGTTAAGACATGTGGCTATAGATAAACGTCTATAAACATATCAAACCAGAGGGGGAAACGATCATGTAGCTGTTCAACTACTTCACAGAAAGGCAGTCAAACCATGGGCAATCAGGCAGAAGCCATGAAGCCCGAGTTACTTACAGGGTCTACAGTTGGAAGATTGGACAGTCTTCTCCTTTTCCTGCTTGGGCCTGGTGTAGGCACAGAATGGTGCCCGTCATCAAAGTCTCCACTGACACTGCTGGAAGGAGAGGTGGCTCTTCTTCTCTTGGAACCCATGGAATCCAACTTCTTCTATAAGAAATAATTACCCAAGTTCTTATATTTAATCTTCAACAATGTCAACAAACTGTCAGCTGGGCACATATCACCAAACTTCTTGTTCATTTAAGATAGTTGATAGTTTTCTTCCAGAGGAATTGAACTAGCTCTAAGTTTTTTTGTTAAGTCCTAGATGTCAATGATTTTTAGTCTTTTACTTATCAGAACACTGTACCATCAAACTCTGATAGGGCAAACTTGGCAGAAGTATATACATTTGTATGTCAATAATTCTCAATTAGTTAACCATTTCCTGCTCCAGATTTATCCTGAAATGTGGCTTCCTAACTCATGTATAGCCATTTTTTTAAAAAATATTATTTTTGATGTGTACAGATGTTTTGCCTGGGTAAGTATGTCTACATCATATGTGTGCCTGATGCTGGAGGATACCAGAGGAGTGCATCAGATCCCCTGCAACTGGAGGTACAAATGATTGTAGGCTACCAAGTAGGTGCTGGGAAATAAATCCAGGTCCTTTGGAAGAACAGCCAGCAGCACTCTTTAACACTGAGCCATCTTTCTAGTCTTCTAGTCTTTTAACAGTGTGCTGGAAGCACCACTGATCTCCAAGACCCTGAGGCAGACAAATAAGCATGGGGACAAAGAGTTAGCAACCTCAGCTGCTTTCCTGAATGACTTACAATTATAACTAATACCTCAGTGGGTAACAGTGTAGAAAATGAAACTAAGTATCTGAGGCAGTAAACTTTTTAGCATGCAGAAGTACTCTAACACCTTGGAAATGAATTCTCCACTTTAAGCAGAATTCATAAAAATAGCTCTGTGAAACAATGTAACTTTTGCTATATCTGGGAGAAATAGCAACTTGTACGTTCAACTCTTCTATTAAGTCTTTCCTTTTAGTCAGAGATGTACACTATGCTCACAGATTTTTGGGAAATAGCTTTAAATCTTATTAGATGATCTGGAAGAACATGTTACACACATGGGTTCTTAGGTAATGTGTGGACATAGAAACATAAAAACTTGCTCTAAGCTTTATTTAGGTTGACTGACACACGATAGGAAAGCACTCCAACACTGAATCCTACTGAGTCCTATCACTAATACAAAAACTCTGTGTGTGTGTGTGTGTGTGTGTGTGTGTGTGTGCACGCGTGCGCGACCGTGTGTGCACAGGACATAGGTTGATGTTGGATGTCTCCCTTTAGCACTTTCCCCCTATTTTGGACAAAGGGTTGTTTATTAACCCCGGAGAATATCTAGTCAGTCCGTGTCTGAGACCTACCTGTCTCTGCTCCTCCAGTGAGAGGACTACAGACACTACTACCCACACATGGCTTTTAAGTGGGTGCTGGGGATTCAAAATCAGATCCTCATTTTTGCACAAGTACTTTACCCACTGAGACATCTTCCTAATCCTCTAAGACACTATTCTTTGATAGGTGCAATGGTGCGAGCCTTTAATCGCAGCACTTGAAAAGACAGGCAGAGGCGGGGGATCTCTGTCCACTCAAGGACAGCATGCTCTACATATTGAGTTCTACATAGTGTCTCAAATAAAAAAAGGAAAAGAAACTGTTTCTAACATAACTTTACAGATTATATTTACACATAAATATACACACTTGGCTATAATGTAAGAAATGCAACCAAAGAAATTACTACAGGTAAAGGGTATAGACCCAAGAAGTCCTGCTTATAAAATTTAACAGTAGTATCAAATAGTGCATTGTAATTTCAAAGGACTTACCCAAAGCTAAAGGTAACAACAGACTTAAGTTTCATACAACTAAATAAACACCAGTAGACCAGTGGCTGCCAGTACTACAGAAGGAAAAATTGGGGATCTCCAGGAAATAGAAAACAAGAATAAAACAAACAAACAAACAAACAAAAAAATCCGTTGAGCAACTAAGAAACAAGAGGGGTCGCCTATCTCTTGGTTTGAACTAAAGTCCACACACTGTTTAAAACAGAACCCACGGTGGTCATGTTCTTTCTTCTAGGCTTTGGTTTATTACCAAGTATATTAGTTTGAAATTGACTAAAAGTAGTTAAAAGCTTCTACAACCTTAGGTCAAGAACACCCAGGTTCTGTTGTAAAAGACTGCTAACTAGCCACAATTCCACAATTTAATGAAATTAAGGACTAATCCTTGGAAACACTGATAAACACAGGAGGGACTCAGAAGGGAAGAGTTATTATAAAAATTCAGAATGTTGAAGGGAAAAGTTAAAGAACGACAGAAACAGGAAAGGGTGAAGATGATCAGTAATTTACCAGCTTTACCAGAGCACAACCAGCGCCTCGAAAAGCCAATCTCCTCATTATGTCTGCAGGCCAACTGAAGCCAGTGAGAGAAGGGAGGGCTTTATAAGGGCTTATTCAGTTAGTCTATTCAGAACTGAAAGAGAAGAACAAGGCAGAGAAAAGGGAAATGGAGGTATAAATGAGTTACAAACAGACAGAAAACATACATCCAAATAGAATTGCTAAAGAGAGAGACACAGGCACATCAATCAGTTCTCAGGTGTACCTGACATTGCTTTCATTTAAAAACCCAAATGCTTCCACATGCTTAGAAACACCTCATTGAGTTTCACCTTTACTCACATGAAATGACTGTCAATTCCAGGAATGAAGCATGCCTGCCCAAGTGCCCCCTAGTCAATAAGAGCAGAGTTCAATCACAGAGCTGGAATGGAGAGTGAACACATGTGGGAGGCTCACATGTGACACCAAGTGTTGGCAAGCTGGAACAAACCAAGAACGGCTCATGAGAGCAAACTCTACAAAATTCTTCCTCCCCTCCACCCAAGAATCAGAGAAAAACATTTCTTTTCAAAAGCTCTATCTGCACTGGAAAGACACAGCATTTAAGTTTAGCAGGGCTTTAAAAAGGTCTTCAATTATTTTGGCAATTCAAAATGACTGCTTTTTATAATGCACTGGAAAGCAAATGACAAAAAAAATGTAAACTTGAGTATAAATACATTGTAGTTTTAGATGATACAACAGCGAGATCCTTTAATCATTAATACACTTTCAAAGACAAAAGATACAAGAGAAGGATTTTTTAAAAATTTTTCTTATCCAAAGTATACATTTTAACACGTAATGTGAAAGAAACAATGGATTCACATTCACGAGTCAGACCTTCCACCTCTAATTATCTGTATGAAGTTAGCCAAATCGCAACTCAGGTCTGTTTTGTCATCTTTAAATGGAAACAAGAGCTGAGTAAATAGCTAAGTTAGAAGAGTGGTTGCCTAGCAGATTGAAAGGCCCCAGGTTCAATCCCAGCACCGCATGGAACTGGGCATGGAGGTACACACATGTAATACTAGCATTAACAAAGTGGAGACAGACATGTTAGTTCAATGTAATCTCAAAACAAAAACCCAAAATGAAAACAGTAAAGTGTACCTATAGCCGTTTGGCAATGAAGAAATAACACATGAAATTACTTTGAAATTTCAAAGCAAAATTCTTAAGCTCCCTAGGCTCAAGAACTGGGTCCTCTTTATTTTTGTATCCCATTCTATAAAATAGTCCTGGATATAACTAAATGTTCTGAAAATGTATATGAGATGTTTAAAACAAAATTTTGAGCCATTTAAAAATGGTCTCTAAGTACTACTTCATTATTTCTTTATCCATAAGCAAAAAACAAATAATTCTGGGGTTTAATTTCAGATGTTAGGATGGCCTTTTTACAGTCAAAAATCTAAGAGTCTGACAATGAATCTAGCACTTCCAGTGGACAATAAACACTTCAGGAGTCTGGGGAGAGAGCAAAGTCAAGTACTTGCCATGAAAGCATGAGGGCCTGAGTTCAGATTACCAGCACCCACATCAAAAGCTAAGCCTAACTGTATGGCCCTCTGACCCCATCACTGAAGGTACAGGGGAAGTGTAAAGACATGATGATTACTGGGATTTGCTGGCTGCCAGCCTAGTCAAACTCCAGCAAACTCCAGGCATAATGAGAAACCTTGTCTTCAAAAATAAGGTAGTCCTGGAGAGGTGGCCAGGTCAAGAGCACTGGCTACTCTTCAATAGGGCTTGAATTAGATTTCTAGCACCCACAGGGCAGCCATAAGCATCTGTAATTCCAGTTCCAGGGGACCCTCTTCTGGTTTCTTGAGGCACCAGGCATATACATAGTGTACAGCCATACATGGAGACAAAACATCTATACACACAAGATAAAAATAAATACTTAATATAAATAAAAAAGAAAGCAATAGAAAGACAATACCATGGCTCTTGAGCCTCTATATACACAGGTGTATATATACAAAGTTAGTTTTTTAATGAGTATTTAAGAATATGGGACTTTGCCGGGCGGTGGTGGCGCACACCTTTAATCCCAGCACTTGGGAGGCAGAGGCAGGCAAGATTTCTGAGTTCGAGGCCAGCCTGGTCTACAGAGTGAGTTCCAGGACAGCCAGGGCTACACAGAGAAACCCTGTCTCGAAAAAAACCAACAACAACAAAAAAAGAATATGGGACTGAGCAAGTATCTAGTATAGCCAAATACCTGACAACACACTAACTTTTAGTATTCTGTATTTTTAGTAATATTTAACATTGTAACAAGCACTTAAAAAAAATTTTGGCAAAAAGATGACTCAAAGACCAAAAAAAGTAGGCAATTATCCTACTTCTCACAGGAAAACCACCTTTATCACTGCCACTCAGAGCCTTTAATATTTATCTACTGCCTAGTTGTTGTCTTTTGTTGTTTTTTTATTCTTTCTTTTTCTTTTTGAAACAGGGTCTCATACATACCAATTAGTCTTGAACTCAGGACTTGAATTTCTGAGCCTCCTGCCTCCACATGCTAAATGTTGGGATAACACGTACCACCATGTCCAGTTTGATGTAGTGCTGAGGACTGAACCTAGTGCTTCATATATATACCAGACAAACACTATATCAACTGAACTACGCTTCAAACCAACAATCTTTCCACAAATGGGGTGATTAAATATATATATTTATATATGTACACGCACACACACACACATATATGTGTGTGTATATATATATATATATATGTATATATATATATATACACATACATATAAAATCTCCAAGTCAGCATTCTCTTTCACGATGTTTAATGTCTTCCTAATAGTCTATTAGATGGGTATATAATTTATCTTGGGGATTTGAGAAATGCACTATCATTTGAGTTATGTTTTACACTCTAAAGGAAAGCTGTCAGTATTCTTCCATTCCCATTGGTGCATCTGCACATACACGTGTTACTATTCTGATCCCAAACCTTTCTTCAAAAGATACTATCCTCCCTTCCCCCACCCTCCCGCAGTGGCACATGCCCGTAAATCCAGCATTCAGGAGACTGAGGCAGGTGATTCATAAGCCTGAAATAAACCTAGCAACAAAGTAAGGCCACGTAAAAGATAAACAAGGATAGTTTCCAATCTCTCATTTTGGATCTTAAAAACTACTAAAGCAAAAGCTATGTTCCTCAATATCTATTTCGAATCCAATATGGTTCCGAATTACATTTGGGAAAAAAGCCTACTACTAAATGGGTTAAGAAAGACACTTATAACCACTTTTTTGTTTTACTGGCAGAAGATCTCACTATGTAACCCAAGTAGCCTGGAACTTGCAACACTCCCAATTCGACCACTAATGAACTAGAACAGGTGTTTTCTACTGTGCCTAGCTCCTAAAGTAATTTTTGAAAAGTTTGGGTTAAGATAACGTATTCCAACAAGTGCTTCTATAGTTATTCCTAGAATTTCTACATCCATTCTATTGTTTATTTGTCATTTGTTTTCCAGGAATTTTGTATTTTTGTCCCCTCTTTCAAATCAAATTTTCTTAACATAATAAGACTCACTTCTTTAGAAAACAAAACTTTTAAAACCAAATACGTTTAAAACCAGAAAAAAAAGTTTAAAAAAACTACTCGATTCGTCGTGACATTACAAATGAGAAGCTTAAGTACCTAGCCTGTCAATAAATAAGTCTCTCTGACAAAAATAATATTCCGTTTGAGCAATCATTGGGAAAGAGAAAAAAAAAAACTCAATAGGGAGTTTTTGCCGAACGCGCAAGGAAAAAAAAAAAAAGAGAGAGGCCTTGAGAGGCAGAGGAAAAAGAAGAATTTGCCCGACCTGTCACTGGTTCTGGGGCTAAAGGAAACGTTGACAGCTTTGAAGCCGTCCCGCGACGGGCGGGAAAGAGCAGCGAGGGGAGTTTCCGGGCCCCGGTTTGCCTTTGTCCTGGCGGCAGGTGCGGCCAGGCTGCTGGGCCTGTCCGGAGGCCCGCCGCCGTGCCCCGCCCCGCGCCCAGCCCGACCAGCGCGTCCGCACCGCGGGGCGGGGCCTCCGCCGCGGCTCCCGCCCGCCCG